TGTCTCTTTTGATCTTTTCGTTGCTTCCCATTTAAAGAACCAAGGACTTGAATTCAATTAAAGTTGACGCGTGTGGAAGCAAATAGAAAACACAAAAGAGAATGCGAAAAAAATTGCTTTCAAGACTTGACGTGTCTGAAAGGGGACTAAATACATACATACTAGGGATGTTGCGAATGTGGAATTTTAGATGCGAATGCGGATGCGGATGTTTAAAAGCTAACATCCGCGGATGCGAAGGCGAATGCGGATGTCAAGTATTTTTAGAAATAATTTTGGTGAGTACATTAGGTTAGCGATGGGCATAATGTGCAAACCGTTGGGTAGATGAGCTGAGGTAATTATGCCCGGGGGGAAACAGAAAATTTTGCGCGAATTGCATCTGTATGTGTGATCGGAATGAGAGAACAAGTATATGTGAGTACTCACGAATGTGAGACCCCATGGCTGCCAACTTTCCTAAAAGCACCAAAACTTGGGACAAATCAAAACATCATACATACTTATGTGTATAAAAAGATTTTCGTATCCAGAATAAAATTCACTAAATAAGCACTGAACATGACGGGAAAGGTATTCTAATAGTGTTATATAGTTGTCGAATATTTTTAGGTATCTTCGGCTCAGCTAACATGAAAAAAGCTACATGTATGCATATCTATATATTTTTGATGATTTGAAGATTTTGATTTTTAACGATGCAAAGTGAAGTGTATGTATATACATTTTGATTAAATCAAAGATGTGTGTTTAATTTGACAGCACTTGTGCAAATGCTTTATTTGTTTTTTTTTTTTTTAATTGCAGGTATGGACATAAAAGTGCAAATAAGTTTTGCATTGACTACATTTTACAAACTCCAACGAGTTCAACAGTCACGAAAACGAAGACGACATTCTTATGACCAATTTTTTTACTTTATTTAATGCCACAAAATCCCAACACTGGTTACAAAACTATATGTGACCTGGTCTACGGAAAGGGGGCTTAGGTGTCAAAAAATCAATTTTCACTTTTTGGTTGATTCGGATGGAAGATGAGATGCTTTTTCACGTGGTGAAAAGCAGAAAATCTTAACTTGCTTAGAAGTGTACTAAAAATGTAGAGAAAGAAGAGTAAAAATACGACAAAACATAATTTATTGGTAATGAACAAAACATTGAATTATAAGCCATAAAGACATGATTATACACTAGAAAAACGTATTATGGGCCAAAAATAATAATGCTGAGTAGTTTTGTCCGTATACGGCACTCATGTTTCATTTCATGCGAAATGCGAAGACGATAATCAACAGAAACAGTAAACGTCACTTCTTCAGTGTTACTTTTTTAAATGTTCCACACTAGCAACTTACACGATGAACTATAATAATATTCCGACCAACAACAACACTTACTGGACCAACAACAACACTTACTGGACCAACAACAACACTTACTGGACGCCCGGCGTGGAGAACAATTAACGAGATAATGAGAAACTGACGAAACGAGTTGCTTACTTTTAACAGCTTTCTCAAAAAAAATTATTTTTGCACGTAAGCTCCCTTTTCGTAGACCAGGTCACATATAACGAAGTTCCAATTTTGTTTTTGTCAAAAAACTGATGGTTTTTTATAAACATATGATCTCTAATTTTATGAAATAAAGTTTAACTCCTAAATTATAAAAGAAACTTTTTTTCATAAGAGTTTACAGAATTTAAATGATTTAGCAGGATTCTAGCGATTTTTGTTTATTAATCTGGCGGGACGACAGAAATAGTAACGGCACAACTGGTGGTGCGCGCATATTAGCTGTTAAAGCTCAAACAGTCAGCGACGTAACGTAGACGTAGGTTGACGCAGACACGATCTACCTTATGGGATTCGCGTGTTAACGAAAACTCACCACCGCATGGCGGTGACGTTGCCGTTGTTTCTCTCTCTCTCTATCAACAGTAAATTTTATATGCTGCTACGTACGTCAACCTAAGTTTACGCTACATCGTTGAATAACTGCGCTTTAATTCACTTTTGCATTGTCAGCGTTCAGTTGGTCGCAAATTTTCAAAGGTAGGGGTTGTTCTTGCGCAGATAATTTTTCGTTAGAAATTTGCTTGGAAAAAAAGGACAATCATGCGCAAAACAACCTTTTTATATGACGGTCACAATATAACCAGTAAACAACCTTCGGTGAATTTGGCGACTGCCTTCCTCGGGGATGAATATGCTAGGGATGAAATTATTGGTACACACGCCTTCCAACCACGCAGGGTTGCTTTTAAGAAACAAAAAATAATTAACTCCAAATAGTTTCAAAAAGTATAGTGTAAAACGAAATTTATTGAATAATTCCACATAAAATGGTATACATAAATGACTCATTTTCTAAACGATTTAAACAAAACGAATTTCATAACCTTTTTTGTGCAAACGGCATTTGCGAATTGATAGAAAAGTACTACGGATGGTAAATTTGAAACTATGAGGTGAATGAAAATTTTCAACCCGGCCTGACGGTTTTGAAGAGTTTTTTTGTTCTAATTTTATTACTAAGGCGTCTAATAAATGCATGGCTTTAAGTTCTAGAAGAATAAATGTCAGTAAAGACAAGTCTTTTTTGTATAATTTCTGATTTTATTTGCTCAACTTCTTTTGCACCAGAGCAACTGTCAAAAATTTGCAGCAGTAAAAAGTTACGAATTGGCACAGCAATGGAAAATTTTCTCGCCATAATAAAAAAGTTTTTGCAACATGGATCTTTTCTACTAATTGACATGAAATTACTATCTCAACGCTCGGAGCGCTGCCACTGAGGGCCTTTGCCAACTGATAAAAAAGAGAAAATTTGGAAAGACCAAACAAAAATTTTGAGATTTCTCGTTGTGAATACGAATGCCATAGTTTTTACCTAGCTCATGGGACTACGCAAAATTTTGACATCTTGTAAATATGTGTACACATAAAGTTGTTGGCGGTAATAAAGAGTAAAAATCAAAATGGAGAAAAGAACAAAAAGCGTACGTTAGTTGTCAGTTATAAAATAAATCCAATTTATTTGCGAATATTTGTTTATTCTTTTTATTGAAAGGCAACCACTCGGAAAAGCTTGTGTTAATTATATTGATAACAGAACCTGGCAGCTCGCACGTTGTCTAAATTCTCAAGTAACATAAAATCCACAAAAGAATACATTGCTTGTATTACCATCAATACGCCATGTATAAATTTTAACAATACATAAAAATAGAGATTTCGCACGACCGTTTGTTTGGGGTTTCAACACCATTTATAATTTTCTTTTAATAAAATCACGATTCGTCAAATGCTTAAATTTATTTATCTAATAGTAATGCAGCACGCAACCCTGAAATCTAAGAAAAAGTCTGAGGAAGGCCATTAAATAGCAGCACACAACCCCGTGCCTTCCTCAGGAGTGAATATAACTACAACAACAACGACTACTACAACAACAACCCAAAAAGGTTGGTTACCAGAGAACGTTTAAAATAGCGTAGCAACTACAATAAGAATCGTTAAAAAAAAAAAATTTTTTCGACCCAAATGCCGACGGCAAATCACCAATGAGTTTGCATATTTGCATAGCTTTCACATATTTATTAGATAACAAATCTACGTTTTGGAGTTAAAGCATTCCCTGGCATATATTTTCGAAAATTAATTTTCATTAATTTAACCAAGAATTTTCATCTTTTTTTTTATTAAATCAATGCAGCGAAAAAGAAAATCCAAACCAAAGCACTTAACATTGATACAAATTAACAAAATTGTATCTCCGCTCAGCTCTGTTAACTTGCCGCTCAGATCTGTTAATTTTCCGCTCTCAATTTTCGATTCGAGTGGTGAGCTTCTAGAGCGATTTTGGTAGTGTTTGACAATTCACACGGCTATTCGTAATTGCTGCTTCTCTGTTTTAAACGTTCTCTGCTATAAATAGTATTACTTTTGTTTATTTATCTTTCTTGAAGAGCATGCTTAAGTGTTTGTGGATACGTTTAACCAGAATCATCTTTATGCTGTAATCCAAATTTTCGTAGTTACGAATACGTAACTCCGCTTCGTAAAATATAAATATTGTATGCTGTAATCCGTTCTTCTTAATCAGCTGTTTTGAAAGAAATATATATATAAATATTATTGCAAGTGAAGAGTGAAATTTACAAGCACTGGATCACAAATCACACAAATTTTAGTTTTGTTTTCGTTCTCCAGACGCCACTGACCAATTTATGTGTAGAGTTGCTCGGTGATTCCGAAAATGGCGTTATTTTTTTTCGATGGATACGTTTTTGACATATTTGCAATTTATTGTTATTCAGCATAAAAAAAGAGTTCCCACTTTTTTAAGCTGAGTAACAGTAAAATGCAAATATCTCGAAAACGTATCCATAGCAAAAATATCTCGATTTTCGGAATCGCCGAGCAATTCTACATAGGAATTTGATAGTGGCATCCCAGAACATTTTTGCTGTAAACCAGTGTAGCCATTTGTAATTAAAATATGTATGAAGGATTGTGTAGCCGCTGCACTTTTATCCTAGGAGGTAGAATATTCTTTAGGCAACAATTGCATGAATATGCAGAGGAGATTGTTATGAGTCGATCTTAATCCATTTAGCTGTTAATTGTGAGTGGTCTAATTAATTTATAATGTTTAATGATTTGTGAGAAATTTTCTCTTATATAAAGACGCAAGTTAAATTATAATCTTCGCCAGGGACTTCTCTATGTCGATTGGTGGCAGTTTTGCGGTTTTTCGCTAGAGAACCATTAAACTAACATATTTTAGTTATTCTTGTGCTTAAACAGATTATTTTATTATCAATTATTTAAAATTCGATACGCCATAGCGGATTTGAGCATATCGGTTTTACGATTCGTAAAAAATCGAACCTAAGACGGCTTTCAGTATATGGATGTTAGCCAGAACATCACCCTCTTAGCTTACGTTTTCAGTTATTAAGATACTTACTTCCGAAAATAATTAAGTACTTACTTGTGTAATTTATAGCCTTGATATTGCATATATTTTAAGAATTCCTGTGAACGTTCACGGTCTTTGCGTTTTTCTTTATCTGTCAACAGGTCATATGGAACCAGCTGTGCATGTATAATTCCGCCACAAGAGTTCAACTCCTCTTTTTTCTTTTTAGCCCATATATCATGCGAGTTTTCAGCTAGACGCTCTGCCATATTTTGCATTTCTCTACTCAGCGTTAAATTTGTCATGTCAACTGGATGTGGGTTGTAGTTAAACGGGCTACTTTCATTCTGAAAATCATTCTATTTTAAGCAAGAAGCCATGATATTGAAACAAGAAAATTTTTAATTAATGGATATGGGTGGGGTTCGGGTTGAAAAGTTTCGTAAATAAAGGAAATTATTTCACAAATATGTACATATGTATTTGCATATGCACTTAGATAAACTTTTATAAACATGGAATCAATTATCTATTATTAAACTAATTATGTACCGTGTTATGTTACCGGCCAAACCCGATCTTAGGACAATTAGGCTGAACTAGTTCTTTCCATCTCCCATACATCCGTCCCACGCGGAAACAAGTTGGGCATAACAATATAGTGGACTGCGTACCAGGAGTTGAACTGATGAGGGTTATTTTTTTCAAGTGCGGCCGAAGCCCGCCTGCGCGAACATGTGTTCTACACAAAAGTACTGTGGCGCCTAGTTTATCCTAAGATCGGTTTGCCCGGTAACATATATACATAAATATATACATACGATTTGTGGCTTGGATTGACGTCGGGTGGATCCACGGTGATTAAGTGGGACGTCGATATCCGACTGTTCAATGCGCCAACCAATAGAAACTAGAGCTTTTAAACATTCCCTTACAGGATCTCGGTACCGTTCACGTTCCTTTAAATTTTCAAAATATCAGTAAGTATATATAATTTTGGGTTCTGATAATCTCATATCTCTCAGTTTACGAGGTATGTATAGACTGCCTCTAAATAGTTTTACTTTACAGATTTTTTAACATGTTACCAAGTAAATTGAAAGATTTTTTTTTTGTTTTTAAGAAAAGCTAGGACAAATAATTAGGGGAAATAGCATGCAATATACATACATAATCGCTTAACATGTTGTATGGCTTAAGACGTGGATGCTTGCGGTCATTGTCGGAACGTATTTCCCCATAAGACCATCCACTCTCCAATCGGCGACTAGCCCAGGCATCGTGGTAATGCTCACTAAATTTCTGCACCAGGGTTTCGAGGTCGTTGTTCAATTGCACTTGGTCGGTGTCAATGGGCTGAGGGTCATATTGTGGTTGATCTGGTGCACCGGACTGCCGGCCGTAGTAGTCCTCATCCGTATTTTTCGATAAACTATAATCAGGTGGCAGAGCACAGCCAATAGCTATCAAACAAGGTAATGCTTTTCCAAATAATTCAGGATCGTAATCCATATTACTGAGAGAATCAAAAATATTGGAAAACAGGAGCATTGTCAATCGTTTTTCTTCATCTGATGATGCGCCGTATGAACCTTGACCTTGAGTAGAGCCATAATATTTTGCACACCGATCAAAGTGCAGAGTAAGGAGCTAAGAGTAATAAAGACGTTATTTCAAAGAAAAGATATGGCCTCGAAATGCAAAAAGCTGGACACTGAATGATAGAGCTAAGGCTCATTCCACGGTATCGTAACCAGATGCGATGGAAATAATTTTATACATGTATTTGTTATTCTACCTGTAGAGAAATAATCAGTAGAGAAGAGATACAAAAACGAACTACTGGTCTAGCTCACGCTACGGATAATAAATGAATTTTTCGAAATTGTACAAAACGTCAGAAAAAATGAACCAACAAAAAATTTCAAACGCTTTCACAAAAACAACGAACGTTTAAAACAAATATACATTAATTCGACGCTTTTTAAACAAATATCTTGCAAAAATATACTAATCCTACTATCCTTCCTACTAATATTTTAAATGTGAAAGTTTGTATGACTGTGTGTTTGGATGTCTGGGGCTCCATCACGCAGAAGGACTGAACGGCTTTGCATGAATTGAAAAAGTTTAATTTATTTAATAATCACGCGGAAACGACTGAACGGATTTGCATGAAGCACGTCCGCTCGGCGTGAAATCGAAAGAATTGTGATTGTAACAAATCAAAATTAACTTGCAATGTACATGTGTGTGTGTGTGTATTAGAAGTGGCGTGTTTACAGAGGTGGTGGAGAAGGGGGTTAGCTAATCCATGATTCAAGAACACAAGGTTGGATAACCTGGCAGTTGTCTCGCTACCGCATTCTGCCTTATGGTCTGATTATGCATGCTTCGCTTAACTTCGCGCAACTTCGCAAAAACTTAAAACTGTAATTTCATATGTACTTTGTATGTATTTGGTATGTATTCTATTACCCAAAAATTAGCAGAACTTTTAAAAACTTAGGGGTCTGTTGAGCTTAAATTTTGCTTCACATTTTCTTAAGTTATATTTTTATTGCACTGGTACAAATGGTTGTGCGAAGTTATGCGAAGTATGCATAATCAGACCATTAGCCTGTGTTGCTTTCTTTTTTATACCCGAGCGCACTTGTGCACAAGGGTATTATAACTTTTTTCACATAACGGTTGTTTGTAACAGGCAAAACGAATCGAGATAGATATAGACAAATGTATACATAAATGATGAGGATGAAAAGAGGAATCGATTAAGCGGTAACTGTCTGTCCGTCCGTCCGTCCGTCGGACTGTGCACACGATAACTCGAATAAAAATTAAGATATCTCAACGAAACTTGGTACGTGTATTTCTTTCCGGGGTAGGACGGATGGCATTGAAAATGGGAAAAATCGGACAATAACCAAGCCTACCTCCCATATAACGGTAATTTTGAGAAATACGAAAACTGCGATATTTTAGTAACTACTAAAGATTATTCACTCAAAATTGATATTTACAATAACTTTTAGACGAAAAATAAGAATATTATAAATTTTTGAAAAATGGGCGTAGCCACGCGTGGTTACATGTGTATATCTTGGCAACCGCTGCACCGATTGCTTCCAAACTTGGCACAGTCTTGGTACAACATACCAAATGACCGAAAATTTTTAAAATCGGACAATAACCACGCCCACATTCCATATAAGGGTAATTTAGAGAAATACGAAATTATTCAAAATTGACGCTTGCAACAATTCTTTACGAACAAATACGTTTATGACACAATTTAGGAAAATGGGCGTGGCACCGCCCACTTATGATCACATATATGTATCTCGGTAACCGTTCTACCAATTTGTACCAAACTCGGTATGGTTATTGTACTTGCCACATAAAAGCAAAACGTTCAAAATTATTGAAATTGGACTAAAATTGCGGCTTTTCATATAACGGTAAACTTTAGAAATGCTTGAAACTTCAATATTTCGAAATTTAAGGACGCTAATTTACTCAAAATTCATACACCCCGGCTTACCATGTAGCGGTAGCTTTCGGAAAGGTGAAAAACATATATTTAATATTTGCGCCGGGTATTTAATGTTCGGCTCCACCCGAACTTAGACTTTCTTACTAGTTGGTTTATAAAGACTACTACTAAAAGACAAGGAGAAATATTGTCTCCGCATAAAAAGTTCAACAGGCAACACTGCCGATATTTTCATCGATTGTTTCGTGGAAATTGATTTTCTTATTGCGCAAATTCAAGTAAGCATGCCAAAAAAAATCAAAAATAATGGAGCTATTTTGAATTAAAACAATAATTTACATATTTATTTGTGGAGTATCGGAAATATTAAAAATTTTTATTCANAAATCAAAAATAATGGAGCTGTTTTGAATTAAAACAATAATTTACATATTTATTTGTGGAGTATCGGAAATATTAAAAATTTTTATTCAAAAACCTGCGTTTTACAGCAAGTGCAGCCGTTACCATTAAGTTTTTCGCGCTAGGATCTCTGTGTGTCCGTCCACCTTTGGCTGGTGCAGTCCACTGTGAATTACAGCTGCACCGATTTATTTGGCGAAGTGCAGCCGTTACATACTCACAAGTAAGTATACCACAACATAAAAGTGAAAGTGTAAATATCAATAAAGCTTTTTACTTGTGCAGGTCAGGATCACTTTTTGTGTCCGCCCACCAAATGTAATTTAATTTAAGATATTGAACATGTAATTNGCAGTCCACTGTGAATTACAGCTGCACCGATTTATTTGGCGAAGTGCAGCCGTTACATACTCACAAGTAAGTATACCACAACATAAAAGTGAAAGTGTAAATATCAATAAAGCTTTTTACTTGTGCAGGTCAGGATCACTTTTTGTGTCCGCCCACCAAATGTAATTTAATTTAAGATATTGAACATGTAATTTTTAAATGCAACAAATATAATAATTAAAAAGATTAATTTATATACATTATATCAATTGCATCTTTACTAGTTGTATATTTCCTTATATCGCACACCGTCTTCAAAAGAGTCACAACTCAAAATCCATAACACGTNAAAAGATTAATTTATATACATTATATCAATTGCATCTTTACTAGTTGTATATTTCTTCATATCGCACACCGTCTTCAAAAGAGTCACAACTCAAAATCCATAACACGTTTGTCAGAAAATGCGAACTACTATTTCTTAGCACATGATAATCATATGGGCTAGGGCGACTTTACCTTGGGTTTTTTTTTAACAAATTAACAAATTATAACAAAAACTTTATCCAGCTTTTGCTGAAAGGTAAATAAGATCTCTGTGTACATTTTTAGCTCATAATCTCAAAAATTCCAAATTTGGAGTCGCGACTCTTTTGAAGACGGTGTGCAATATAGTCNGTAACAAATTAACAAATTATAACAAAAACTTTATCCAGGTTTTGTTGAAAGGTAAATAAGATCTCTGTGTACATTTTTAGCTCATAATCTCAAACATTCCAAATTTGGAGTCGCGACTCTTTTGAAGACGGTGTGCAATATAGTCCCTTTGAATAAAGGATTTGTTTGAATTCCATTAATTTTATTTAATATATACTGGAATTTTAATGAAACCATGGTTTATTTTGAATATTTGGGAATATTTGTCGATAAGATTTTTCTTTGGTTAGAATTTTATGTGAATAAAATTCCCTCATTCTTCATTTATTTCATTTTTAATATCTATATAGCATGTTTAATATACCATAAAAAAGTTAATTCATTGTCTATTGTGTAGATCGATGGAATCTGCTTTAAGATTTTAATTCAATATAATATACAAAAAACGCATTTCAGCATTACCAGACTACTTTTCCTACTACCTTTTCACAAAAGGGGATAAAATGGTTACCCGCTTTCTCTTCTTTCTCAAATGCAACCTTACAAGGAAGTCGATTGACACAAATGTCAATATTTATCCAACCTTGTATTATTGAATCATGGCTAAAATCTCAAGTGTCAAAATGCAAGAGCGTAAGCAAAATGCGGTCACTAAAAGAGAATAACAGGAAAAAGTAAAGGAACGCAAAAACCAAATTTTTAGGCCAACGAATGACAACAACAAAACTAAAGTCAAATAAGAATAGAAATGTATGTACAAAACACATCCACACAAGCACAAGCACAATAAACACTTACTATATCATTTATGTATTTTTTGCCTCCTTCCACTTTCAATTCTCTTTTTTTTACTTTTTAGATTATTCACACTTTTTGTACATTCTTTAATTTCCGTTAAATTAAATTCAGTTGAGTTTGACACTTTTCAAGATTTTGCCAGTAAAAATTCTTTTGACTAAACCTGACTACTTCGGACTGAAGAGAGTCACTATCACTGAGTGCTGCTCTCTCATTTTTGCTGTCATTTTCGAGTTAAGGAACGCTTTTTGGACTAAATCTGACTACTTCGGGCTTTTTCCTGACTATTTCTGGGAGATAAGGAAGGCAACTTATAACGCGTAAATTTATGTATGTTTGAATGTGTTGCGACATCTGCCGACGTCGATTGAAGCGGGAGTGGCCGAGCGGAAGTGGAATCTCAGCCATACTGAAACTGCTCATTTAGCCATCCTGGGCCCCCTAGGTGAATCCTTAGCCTAGAAACCGCTGTAGCTCTCGCAGCGTCTGGACCACATTACTCATGCCACTGGTCCGACGATGGTGTGGACCGGATTCTTGTTTCCGACGTACGATAGCGGGAAGCGACGGTATCTTAAAGCCAGCTGCAAGGTAGTCTAGGCAATGCCCATGCGCTTGTGCCACCTGTTGTCATTGCTGTGGAGCCACACCCCGGAAAATTATGCAACTGACCAGAGGTTGTGGGCGGCGGCATAAACCGCAACAAACACCGTGTGCGCTGCGATGTACCGCTGCGACCCGTCCTTGCTGGCCAGCTGCTACTGACAGGAGTGGCGGGGGATACCGTAGCCATCTCAACGTCCATTTCTGTAGGGAGGAACGCGACTTTAATGTTGGGTGCAAATTAGTGCATGGGGTTAGCCGACCATTACTGGGTTAATCGGGTACATTGATACATGTTTTTTTCTTTATGAAAGTTACGTAGTTTTCTTTAATTTGTGGTAATGGTTATTGCTATTGATTGGAA